ATGCCGGGCGCGCGGCACGGGCGGACATTGTCCTCGGCCGCCCGCCCGCCGGTCTTTGTCCCATTTGTTCACACTCACCCCGCCGCCATCGCTCGCCCGAAGCCAGGCACCAAAACCAAACGCCGCCCGACGCGATAAAGGAAGCAGAGTCATTTCTCGTCAAAGCAGACTTTATTGGGGCGACAGGGCCATCCCGCGCGCCCGGGCCGCTCCCCGCACGGTGCCCTCGGCCGCATCCCCGCGCTGGGTCGGCCCTTCCGTCCCTTCCCCCCAGTTCCACAACCCATGGTGCCCGGAGCCTCGCGGACCGCTCACCGGCTACAGAGGTGACGACTGCAGCGGCGACGCCCCGCTCCCGAGTGCAGCCCGGGCCTGAGGCGGCGGGTTTTGTTGCTGTTGCACCGCGGAGGGCGGGAGCAGCACGTCGCAGTAGCGGGAGGCGGCGACGGCAGCGGCAACGCGCTGACGTCACGCGCCCCGGGCCAGCCAGCTCGCGTGAGGGCCGCCCCGCCCCCCTGCCCTGCCAGCCCCAATNCCATCTCCGGCTGGCACGGTGACAACATGCTGGAGCCTTCGCCCAACGTGAGTGCCTGGTGCGGACGGGGGGGCCTGGGACCCCCTTCCTCAAAGGCCCAGTGCACCAGGATGCTGGGTCAGGCGGGGTCAGAGTGAGGCACGGGTGTGCTGTGTGGGAGGGTCAGGCAGTGTCCCTGGCTTCCCTGGGCTTCGCTGGGTTGACAGTTAGCAGCACTCTGAGAGTGTCAGAGCCTGGGCAGGGTCCAGCCTCCCCCTGAAGCCAACAGAGGCCTCTGAGGCTCCTTCTCTGGCTGGGGATGGTCCCTGAAGTCTACACTGCAGAGGCAGGGGCTGCTGGGGCCCAGGTGCCTGTGCTTGGCCTTCAGGGACCCAGCTGTGGTGGGTGTTAATTTTAGTCTTCCCTAGGCTATTGTCCTGGCCCTGGACACCCACGCGGGGGCAGCAGGGCTGGGCTGGGGGCCTCCAGGGTGGGTTGGGCTCTGAGAAATGTGCACACTCCTGGGCTGACTAGGAGGGCCAAGGGCTGGCTCTCACTGGTCAACTGGGAAGCTCAAGGCTTGGGCAGCCTGGGCCAGGGACTCTGACATGGCCGGAGGTGGCAAAAGGAGGCATTTTGTGGAATGTGAGATCATTCAGGGCTCTGTCAAGCCTGGGAGACCCCTGGCCCAGGATGCCAGCGGCTCTGGCCGGTGCTGCCGCTGCCCCCACTGAGGGGGGCAGCCAGGGGAGACTTAGACCAGCAGGCCTGTGGTCTTGAGTGGGGTCTGGGGGTGCAGGGGGTGCTCCCAGCACCCCCCACCCCTAGGGATGCTCCCCTCCCCTGCACTTCCTAGCGGCCTGGCCTGCTGGATCAGGAGACTTCTGCTGACCGGGGCTGTCTGGGATTTGGCCGTGAAGACAAAGGCAGGAGGACACAGGGTTACTGGGGTGGTCCTGGGCACGGGGCTGCTGGTCCCTTCCCCTTCTCCCTGTCTGTGGTGGCTGGGCCAGAGCGAGGCTCTGTGTGAGGAGGGCCACAGGCTGTGGTCAGGAGAAGCCCTGGTGGTGATGGGTCGGCTGACCTTGGAGACAGCAGGCACGGTGGTCCCGCAAACTTCTGGGATGGGGCCGAGGACGGACTCTGGCTCCTCCTGCTCTGGTTGCTTGCTCTCCCAGGGATCTGGTGGCTAGGGGCCCTGGGGGGCTGCACGGAGTTGGGCAGGGCTGGGACTTATTCCCAAGTGTTAAGAACATCTGAGGTCCGGCCCGTGGCTCACTCGGGAGAGTGCGGTGCTGATAACACCAAGGCCATGGGTTCGGATCCCATATAGGGATGGCCGGTTCGCTCACTGGCTGAGCGTGGTGCTGACGACACCAAGTCAAGGGTTAAGATCCCCTTACCGGTCATCTTTTTATAAAAAAAAAAAANTCTCAGTGCTCCCCCGCTCTCCAACCTCCCTGGAGTCTCAACCGCTCCCGGGAGGCACCGTCCAGTAGCGGGGGAGGTGCGCGAAGCGCGTGGACGCCCGCGGGCCCTTTGCTCCCCACCCACCCAGCGCCGGGCTGGACCCTGCCCCGGCGGTCACGCTGCCCCCGAGGCGGTCGTTTGCTGCGGGGCGGGACTTGGTGCTGCACGTAGGGCTCGCGTGTGCGGCGCTGAGCGTCAGTTGGAGCCTGTCACCGGCGCTGCCAGCAGATTCCTCGCCTTTTATCCCCCCCGGCAGTACCTGGCGGAAAGGGCCTACGAATCTTAGTAGGTCCTTCTTAACCCTTTACGTTTGGGAAAGTGTTTTTTAAAAAAATTATTCGGTTCTTTGCAAATAGGTTGGGTTAGTTTACACAACTATGGACGTTTGCCACTAAGTTAATAAAATTCGGTAGTTTTATTTTAGGCCTCTGTCTTTTTTACTTTGTAGAAAGCTATCTCGTTTTCCCTGTGAAAAGGATCCTAGAAAGCGGCTTCTTTTAGGGTTTGTTTTACTGTTTTAATACCGCTCTTAACAAAGGCCAGAAAAAAACTTCTAGGACAAAAGGGTCTTATCTGCATGCATAAAAGCTTTGTTTTTACTGTAGACCTATCGAAAGGCTGGTTTTGACCTAGTGCTGGTTTTTCCATGTCAGTATCCTATTGCCGTATTTATATGCTACATAGTTGACTTGCTGGGATACTAAGTAGGTTGAGAATAATCCTACCGTAGCTAGTTAACCCTAGCACCTGTGATGATTAAATTTAATACAAAATTTGGGTGGTAGAGCCCATTTCATCCATAATTACTTGAAAGCTCTTTCATAATTTCTTAGAATTGGATGGAACCTCAAAATACGGTGACCTTGGAGTATTAAAAGGTTATTATAATCCAGAAGAATGAATGAAATAGATGAAAGGGGACCGAAAAGCTGGTCTGGTTGGATCTAGTGAAAGCCCCAAGATGAGATAACTAAAGTTGGATCAGCCTATGATTCAGAGGACTGAGGAAAGAAATCTGAGGTGCTGCCAAAATCTTACAGGAAGTGCTAACAGGCACTGTTACCGTTCTGGATTCAGAGTGCCTCCTGGAACTCATAGTAGTTTGAGTTTAACAGGAGCTGTATGGTATATTTTTGGTTTTGTTTGGGTTTTTTTTTTTTTTGGCGGCTGGCCGGCTGGGGCTGCAAATCCTTGACCTTGGCGTTATAACACCATGCTCAAGCCAACTGAGCTAACCATCCAGCCCAAGAGCTGGATGTTTAAATGCAACATGAATACTTTAGTTCTTAATGGTTATCAGAAAATACTTTCAACATATTTTGGTAGCTCAGAGTAATTAGACACTGATTATGCTGAATCTAAAAGCCATGGTTTTTCATTCATAGGAATGAAATAAGGGATGGGGGTTGGTCATTGATAAATTTGCAGAATTCAGGATACCATTTGAAATTAGATCTAATTTACTTTTTTCATAGTACAGTCAAGTTGGTTTTACAGGAATTCAGAAAACCAGCCTATTTTACGTGTTTCGCATTTGATCTTGCCAAATTGCTTACTTACTTTTCTGGGAGCCAAAACTTTGTAGTGTATATGGCTTCAGTTGATGAAGTGGTATGTATCAAGTTAGCAAGTTAGGGGTGAAAGTCTGAAGGGCTTGACTAATGGGAGTTAATTTACAATTAAGTCAGCATTTAAAAGTCATTACTTCCCCTGTGAGAGTGGCTGCTTACAAGATTGCACGGTTTGGGGTTATATTAATGTCCATTTCTTTAAAGCGTTAGTTGTCTAGTGCGTTACAGACTACTCTGTGCCTAAAGGTGTTTATAAATATTTGATGGTGATAACATAGGATGGCCTGTTTTCTCAGACATGTTTTATGGTAAACTACCCCTTTCCTTGTCCTTGTGGTTTGGAATTATTACCAAAGACAAGCTAAATAGTTTGTAGTGAACTATGCATGTCCCAAGTTCAAATTCTGAAATAATTGCATTTTCAGAACTGAAATAACATGATATAATTAATAACAAATGAAGAAATCAAAGCAGGCTAATTGTTAAGCTGAATTTGTGTTTGTATGTATGTGTTGAGTCTCAGGCAGTGTGTTGTCTGCTTTCATGTACTTCATCTCATTTGATCAAGTAGACATGAGAGTTTATAATTACACTATAGTTTCACTAAAATAGTTTCTTAGATTGGAAGGAGCTATGAAGTAACAGTTTTGCATAAGCCCCAAGCTTAGTTACCTGAAGTCCTTATAAAAATAATTGTACTCGAGGCTCTAGTTATTTTTTAGCACCTCTTGGTATAAAAACAAACAAAAAAAAAACAAAACACAGTAGTTTAGTGGGAGTCAGCATGTTTGTGGAAACCAAATATTTGGATTTTTTATGGGTTTCTTTTTCTTGAATGCCATCTTCGTTTGATTTCCCACGTAGTAACAAAAACATTGTGTGTGTGGTGGGCATCTTTTGAATGGAACAGCAGCAAGGGAATCTAGTAGTTCTATAGTAGAGTAATTTTAGATCTGAAAGGGTCCTTAGAGATCTGTTTTTTTAAAGATTGAAATAATTCTCATACACACAGTTCAGTAGTTTCTACTGTATTCACCAGTTGTGCAACAATCAGCACTATCCAATTCTGGAACATTTTCATCACCCCAAAAAAACACATTACCTGTTAGCAGTCATTCCCCATTCCCCTTTCTCCCAGCCCCTCGCAACCTCTAATCTACTTTCTGTCTCTATGGATTTGTCTATTCTGGACATTTTATACAAATGGAATCATACAATATGTGGCCTTTTGTGTCTGGGTTAACATGTTTTCAAGGTTCACCCATGTAATAGCATGTACTGTATTCATTTTTGTGACTGAGTTATACTCCATTATATAGATAATCTGTCTGGATCTGCTTATTTTTGCAAATGAGAAAATTAAGGCCCAGTTAATCTGAACATGTTTCAGTATTTACTCACGGTTCAACTATGCTTTGAATATTCTTAATCAGTTGATTTAAGGCCAATATTTACTTTGGGTTTTTTCCTTATGTACAATTGATGAATATTTCAGTGTTGACAGATTTAGGCACAGTATTATATGTTTTTTTCCTGGATATTTATCTCTATTATCTAGGAGTGGCTTTTTATTTTACAGAGCTAATTATAAACTATAAACCACTTAACATAAACCATTGGGTTGAGCAGGGAAGCTAATGATAAAAGCTGAGCATTTAAAGCATTTTCAGAGAAACCTAGGTGGCTTTAAAATTTTGAGTTTTGGGCCGGCCCGGTGGCGCACTGGGGGGGGCAACACTGAGGGTTGCGATCCGTTGCCGGACACGGAAAAAAGACCAAAAAAAAAAATATATATATATATATATATATAAAATTTTGAGTTTTCAGGTAGTTAGAAATTATGACCTTCTCTAAAGCTGTTAATATTTTAATTATCTTCACTGGACTGAATAAAGAAGTGCTTTGTGCTGGATTGAGCAAAACATCTAAGACCAGA